TATCAATCGTTGTTAAAGTACCACTGTGAAAAAGACACTTCGCAAGCTCAATCTTCAGATGATCCACTATTATCATGATATTATCGTTTCTCATGCACTTAGGATTTTTCAAAAGTTTGATAAAATTAAATAAAAACAGGGGTCGCCGCGACATGATACAAGAAAGATAGAATTTCGAAAGGAATTTTTCAAAGAAAAAGAAGGATTTTGGTAGAAAAGAAGGAAAACAAGCAATATCCATTGAAGCACTGCTTGTGAAAATAGGAAAGTGTAATAAAACGTCCAGTAATAAGAGATGGTATTAGAGCTCGAACAAAAAACTCATTCCAAAATCATGATTTGGTCACTCTGCAAGATCTCAAATCGATTCGATAATATGTGAGAAGCGAAGAGAATACTCGAAGATGACCTGTTGCATTTCGGTAATTGAGAACAAATATTATTTTGTTATATCAATCACTTTACTTACTCTTGATAGCTTTTATTAGATCAAATGCACGGCTTCACGTTGCTGGTATCACAAATGTTCGTGAATGATAAAGTCTGCACGTGAATAGGGTATGAGACATAGAGATGAGCGGAACCAAGATGAATCGTGAAAATGTAGGTTCGTAATAGCGGTTGTTTTTCATCGAAAACTAAATTTGTGGCTCTAGAAAACTCGACTCTTCTTTTATTTTTATTTACCTAAACAAAAACTTTCTGAAATTTTCGAAAGTATATCCTTCACGTTTCTGAATTTTCTAATTTTATTTTCATTTTACAGTAAACCTCGTCTTTGTTTTAAAAGTCTGTCGATGGGGACCGAGACTTTTCTAAAACGAGTTTGCAGACGAGGACAAAAAATCCGAAGAATTTAAGGGACTATAGTAGTGGCAAAAAGTTTAGCAACAACGTATGTTAAATTTTTTGCTGTAATTTTAAGCACCTAGCTCTGGGTGTGGGTGTGGGTGTGTGGAGGTGAGATGACACTGAAGAGAGCCGCCTCAACGCCCACTCAGGATATGAGTGTGGGTGTGAATCTGCATCTAGGCCTGTGTGTTGGTATTTCTTTCACTCACATCCAAGATAGAGACGAAATGTTTTTGTTTTGCTGATTCATAAAGGATGCAACAAATATCCATGTTTCCATTCATTTACGCAAATTGAAAAAGAATCAGAAGGCCATCACTATCATCCTCATTATCATTAAAATGGACAAGAAAAATTTTAAACGATATGCTAGTGGCACATCGTCGTCTACGACAAGTAATCCAAATAAGTCATCCACAGCTGTAGCACCAACGATAGTTGTGAGTAGAAGAGCTGGGTGTGGGTATGAATGTCTTTTTTTGTTGAACATCCACATATACACCCTATTAGAGCTGTAACAGTATCAAGAAGCGATGAATATTTATGTGTCTATTCTTGTCTACATAAAACTGTGCATGAGTATAAATAGAAAGTTTTTTTTTTCGTTTAATTTAGAAGAAGTCGATGACCAAATAAAGGTTATACCTTCAATAATAAGTTGTTTCGTTGCAATAGGATTGTTATCAGTAACTATTATGATCACATCAACGATGAATTTCTTTCTTTATCACCATCTATCGTTGTTTGGCATCAAATTAATATCACTTAGTATTACTCAACCATTCAATTTAACTCATCTTTGTCTTTTTGCAAACGACTAATCTACATACTCTGGAACTGCATTATGGATCAGAATATGATACTAAACGTTATTTGAAAGAGGAAATTTTAATCTATCTATTCGATAATATTTCTTTGTGCAGAATGCTCATGTCAAATGGCTTACGATAACTCAATCTTTTTCCTATTTCGTGACAACCAAATTTGGTAAACATTGCCTATTTAATTGTCGAGCAACTTCCTCATTTGCAAGTCATTGTTCTTACTATTAATGGCGAAGATGAATATGATCAACTTTATGAGAAACAATTGCATGATCTGCAAAGTTCAAATACTCATTCTTTTCGAACAGAAATTCGTAACACAATAGATGAGGATACACTTTTTGTATGATTATAATAAAATGAAATTGCTAATATTTCTTTAGTTCTTTGTACTTAGACTTGATTTTGTGAAAGAATCATAAGAAGTTTTCAACATGAATAAAGCAAAACTTTTTAAATTTTGTTTCGTAAGTTAAATCACATGAAAAGATCTTCTGTGTTTGATATTAAATTATACTAATATTCTTTATTAGTTGTACAATAGAATGTATACAAAAATTACTCCTGCATGAAAACAATAACACTAATATTTGACCAAAAGATATTTTTTATTATTAATAATCAATTTATTTCCAGTTACATTTTGACACCAAACGCTATTTTAACTCCTCTTCTCTTTATCATCTTGTTCTATTTCCTTTCTCACATATAACTGACCGAAAATAAACAACTTGAAATGTATTTTATTTTTGAATATTCTTACAATAAATAATTATATTATTTCAAATTTATCCTTATATATTAATATTTTAAAAGTTAAAACTTATTATAACATTTCATTCTTCAATAACAGTAACATATTTAAACTAGACCTCCACTCAAACTAAGCACAAGTAGAAAAGACTTCTGACTGCAGAATTTTCATAATCCTCATATATGTTCATAGTTATTTTTTAAAATCTAATTTATCTATATTAATAAATGAAGTTGGACATTGATTGATAACGAATATCAATTGCATATCCCTTTATTAGAACATTATTGTTCTTTTTATTTTGTATATATAGTAAATCTTCGAGACTCTTTCATGGATAAAGTTAATTTATACAAAACGATAATTAATGTGTATATGCATATAAGATGCGAGATATCAATGGTCACTAAAATACTAAGTCATTTAATTACCATTTATTTTTGTTCTTGCATCTTCCACACGGAGTCAAAGAAAAATGAATTTCAGATGTGCCCTACGCACATTCTCACGAGTTTGACAAGCTTTTTTGTGGGATGTGGGTGAATCTCTTCTTTCTGGCCTCATCCAAACTCACCCACACCAAAATCAGTTTTTTCAATGTAGAAACTCTCAGTTACAGCTGATAGTTTGATGTAAGAAACCTTACAAGCATTTGTCTCATTACCATTTTGATGTAGATAAACATATATGACAAGTTAATCTAAGAAGACAATGAATTTATAAACTGTTCATTGATTGAAATATATCATTTTGTAGAATGCATCAATCTAGTCCAATGTTATTTTCCTATTGTACGAATCTCCAATGACTAATTTCATCTTACATTTCATTGAGAAGAATTTTTTCATAACAGCTTTATGCTTTTTTTTATCTGAATAGATTTAATACAATATTTATCGTTTCAATGGAATAATATTCATCATATTAGATGATTATGATTTTAATTTTGTAACATTCTTTATATTCCTAAAGGTATTCATATTGACAATCTTATGTTTGAAAAGTTTCCTGTTTTGAAATTTTGTTGTCTCATATCCTACTTGCTTGGATATATTTTTCGACGATTCTTGCAGCTTTAATTAAAATTATCTTAGTGTTCTTTTTAAAATTCAATAGAAGACGCTAGATAAATGAATATTATTCCATTGAAATGATAAAGTCGCGTATAAAACACTTGTAGAGGTGAAAGACATACTGATGTTATGAAAAACAATTTTTCTCAAAAATATAAGATGAAATTATTCACTCAAAATTGATAACATGAATGCAATAGAGAAAAAGATATCTTTTGTAGAACTTTAAAAGATCTATGAAAAAAGAAATAGAGGAGACAGATCAAACAAATTGATTCAGTCATCTATAGATAAGCAGATCAAAGTGAAAGTTTTGTAAATCTCCTAACTTTCTTCTTAACTGATGATTTACTTCGAAAATATTGATATCAAATGCTATCAAAATTTGATGCTTTTATTTAACCAAAAAGTTATTGACTAAAGGCAATAGTTTCTTGAAAAGAGCAACAACAATTATATTCGATATGAAAAGATAAATGCATGCGTAGTCTGTGGAACTATGAGACTTCTTTAAAAGACAACAGTTGACGAAATTAACTTTATCATTCACTGGACTTATCTCAATGTACGAGGAAACAGTAGTTAAGAAAAAACACATTTTTTATATGAGCGCATAAGTAAATTTATAAATATCATGACTTTTCAGAAGAATTTGACCAGCTTGTTCAAGATTTTTATTGATAAATTTACTAACAATCAAAAAATTTGTGTATAAATACTACATTGTAAGGAAATAACTATTAAGGCTAATGATTCAAATGTTTCTTTGACTAATGAATACTTCAGTAGGAGTTAACAGACATGTTTTTTTTTGTTTTTGTTTTCATTGCATAGTTTTTAAAGCAACCAATGACATAACTATTAACTACTTCTACCAGCGTTCTGCAAGATTTCAGCATTATTATTTTACAGATCGTGACCTTGCAAAGTTCTCTTTTATTTTTGAATAACTTTTGAAATATTTATATTCCAAATATTCAAACACAAAATATAAGATTTTCTTAAGGTTAATTAACGAATAGAGTGAATATTTGTGATACAAGTCAATTCTAATTTTACCTGAATTTTCAATTATTCAGGAGAAATATATTTATTTAAGATTAGAAGACTTAACTGATAATATCTTAGAGTTTCTCAATTTTGTCGATGGCGAATGT